TAACCACTCGAATTAATTAGGTGCAAATTTTCAGTTAAAACCCGTTCGACGTTTGTTCGGCATTAATAACAAGAACAATAATAATAAAAAATCATGAAAAATCAAACAATTAAAATAGATTTTACTGCCATGCTGTACGCCGGGATTATGTACACGGGTCTGGTAATATCCGGATGGTTACTTATGCGTYTAACGATCGCTTGCTTTAAATTTCCGTCCATATTGAACGCGGCTGATGCTGCAGCTGAATCCGAAAAGAAGGTGAAACGGACGTTGACTACAAGTAACTATATATGCAATTGATTTGACGTATGAATATATACAATATAAAAWTACATATTTATTATATCCCCAAACTATAGACATATAAACCATATAATATGTATCTTACAAGCTACTATACCCTATAGACCAGAATGATTCAACATTCTGTAGTTGGCGGGACAATTAGTACATTAATATAAATCCTGGATGAAAAACATGATTAATTGCCGATTTTTTCGACCACACTCAGAAACACTTATTAGAACTATTAAATATATTTATTAGTTTATTACATTATTCTTCTAAAAGTGACCAAAAAAAAAAAATTGTGATGAGGGCCGTAGGTTGGACCTGACAAAAACTATAGGTATATCTATCATCTATATTATAGATGATAACCAGTTTTGAAGGATTTTTTTGTATAAATATCATGGCATTTAGTGAAATTACCAATTTATTTGGTGATTTTTTAAGCATATACTCACTCCTGTTTTTTCTTTTTATAAACAATARTAGTAAATTTATTCAAATTTTTAAACATGGGTATACTTATAACTTATACACTATAAAGTCCTGATATCTTACGACCATTTCAGGAGTGTTATGTATTATGTTCTCCTGTGGTAATATAAGTTTTTATTTTTCAAATGAGAACCTTACTTTTTACTGCAAATTATTTAGTGAACGATCTTCTTGAATATGTTGCTATATCTAATTAATTCTAACGAACAGTTTCCAAATTGTTAACATGTCTATAGTATTTATACAAAGTATAAACCTTAAAAATGCTATAAAAATATAACATATATGTTATAATATTAGATGTAGTATTTTTATATTTAGATAATTTTTATTTGTAAATCAATAGTAATTATGAAAATTTGCTTATAATTTAACTATTTAAGTCTCTATATCTATACCTAAGCGTCCTAAGCCCATTACTATAGATTTAATATTACCAGGGACCTTAATAATATATTCATCCGCAGTCACACAAATTATATAAYTCAAAAACTACTCATTTAAATGTTGATTTGATACATCAAAGTTCTAAAAAAAATATAAAATATTCGTTACGTAAATAAAAGTAAGGGGGGAGGCGTTCCATTTGAAAAACAAATTGTTGTATTGTCGCAAGTTCATCCTTATAAATGATACAAAAATCTCAAGTATTCGAAAATATATGGACTTCAAGTGTATTTGAAAACCCCAAACATCAGAATTTGAATGTATTCATAATTTAAGCAAAATAAGGAAAACACGCTTAAAAAATCACCCTGTATATCCATATAGGTGATAGATAACCAATGGATCTATTAGGTATAGGTATATTAGTTTCATTGGCATATGGTGTTACCAGTGCAGTGCTCTATCTAGAATTTTTTTTTTTTKGGGGGAGGGGGGTTTATAAAAAATATAACATTAAATTGTTTTGAATTTTGTGTGTTTTGTTTTTATTATAATCAATAATCATACATTAAACGTTGAAAATTTTTCGGAGAGGTTGGAACCCCCTAACACCCCTCCCCTCTTCACTGGATATGCCACTGCATGAGCGCTACTATCTATATTATACTTACATACATTATATATACACAGTGTATATATAACAAATATATTGTACCTACTTAAAAAAAATTTTTTGATGTAAAAATTTGAAGTACCTAAAAGTTATAGTAGTAGCTCTAGGGTCTAACTAGTAGGTAGGTATACTAGGGCTTATTTTTTCAAATATAATATTATAGTTATACATTAGGAACAGATTTTGGAACAGATAACAAATTGTTTTCAAAAGTAAATAATTCTCTATTAGCTATTTCCAATTTCCATAAACAACATAAGTGGATATGCAGCTGCATATATTATAGTTTGATGTAACTTATAAATATATAATTAAATTAATAAACAAACTGCTATAATATAAACTTATTACTTTCTCCTAATAAAATATAATTTTCATTGTTAATTATTCAATTCATTATTAGATATATTATATAATATATAGATTCGTGAAATCCTTAAYATTTAATAATACGATCATTTTAGATTTAAAGTTTTTTTTTATAATTTAGGTATTTAGGTATTATTTAGGTATATTCCTGTTTTTTAAATTACTGTCGATAAAATGGAGATATCAATTAAAGGACATAAGATAGGAACAAGAAAATTATTTGTTTTAAGTTTTAAAAATGTTGGAAATAGCCAACTATTAGGTAGTTATCCTAATCMAATGATAATGTTTAAATTCTTGCCTAAACATAGATTATAGGTAATTTTACTAATAAATTTACATAAATAAGAAAAATATAGATTATATTCTATATTTATATTGACCTATTTTCATTTTGTGATTTTCATAAAACCCCGTCTACCATGTTGAATGAAGTAGAAAACAAGGACTTGAGTGCCGTTCAATATTTCGATACTTCGACGCAGGATACCTACGACACAAACATACTCCAACAATCGGTAATGAAATTATAATCAATATTGTTATTACTCTTATTGGATTCTGTTAAATATTTTGTCATATGTATGATATMATCATTTATGATTTGTAATATTTGTAATAATTTATTATTATGATTTGTTATACTACGCTGTCTAATGTCTATATCACTATGTGTTTTACATACAACCTTTACGTGGTAAATTCTATATACTAAGTAGATCCGTCACATGTGGTTAAAAATTGTAGACTGAAAACTCCAATCTTTTCTACTAATATTAAAATTTAGAACATCCCCGCAAAAAAAAAAAAAACTATTGCTATAAACGAATGAATTCAGACTTAAAAATTACAAAAACAAAATTGCAACGGGAATTATATAGGTAGGTACTGTAATCACAATAATATCATAAGATATACTTARAAAAATAGAGGCTGACAAACCATTTTCGCTCATAATCATTTGTTGTTTTTCGATGATTTAAATTGAACAATCCATTATTATAGTGACTCGTGCAGGGATATTCAATGTACAGGTTAGTGGTACTCACTTGCTATACTWTTTTATTTTATGAACAATTATTTGTTTGTGTAGAAAATTTCGGATGAACTATATTGCGAATACGGTTAGGTTATGTTCAAAATTCTTTCTATAACATTTCATTTCTATGCATTATGCAATATCTCCGCAATAATGATGTATATTATTGCTGTTAACTTTGGAATGACATTAATTTAAATTATATTTTAACCATTTAATTTTCTTAAAATGTCGATAAGCGTATCTGTAACCCATACGCCATAGGTAAGATATTTTGTCCCCTAAAAAGTAGTTTCTTTGTTGATAGTTGGTATCAACTATCAAGTTTAAATTAAATTTAAATGTTTCATATTTTTGCAAGTAGTGTCATATTTCATACTTTTTTACAATACTTAGTATGTATCGTAATATTTTTAACATGAAGATCATGTAACATGTAGATCAAAGTCTAGATTGTTAGATTTTAATCCAAATTAAATTGTTTTCTCGAAGCTCTCAATGGTTTCCAAGCACAAAATTCGTTTCGTGTAATCAATAAGAATTTAAAAATGCAATTTTAGGTTAGAATTTTACTCACTTTTTTGATATGCAGGTCATTTTGTTTTTATTTTAAAGATATTTTCTATTTATTATTTACAATTAATGTGTAAATTTAGATCAAATCTCCTCAAAACTGCGTACTTTTCGTGTAAAGATATATAAGAATAGTCGATGGTCGTAAGAAACGATTAATATTGCAAATTGCAATGAATTGTACAAGTTATAGTTGAACATTTTCGTTATCAAACGATAAATAACTTGTTACTCATTAAATTATGAGAGTAGGTATAATTACGAAAATCAGACGATTCATATGACTTATTGATTTAACTGTGATAAATATCAAATTACGATTAAGTTTTGTGTTGGACATAATATGTAACACGTGTTTAGTATTGCGTAGATTAGGTTAGGTATGCGTAAACTTCCATTTAACTGTTTAACTTCAATTATATTAAATTTAAAAAGTAACCCTTAATTATATGAATAGAAATGGTCATGTAAACTAATTTATACTATTGTGCTTTGTAGATTGTGCTTTGACACATACGATTTCGATCATATTATAATTATTTTTACAACAAACAATCATAATATTTTGTTACCCAACTTTCTAAAAAACTAACTGCAGGTAAGTCAACACTATGGCTATAAATTTATGAAATGCTAATCTAATATTATAAGAATTTTTCATAGTAAAACATTCAACTATAGCGTACACAAACAAGTCATGCAAATTATATAATTATATATTAAATAGTTCGCTTTCGAAATTGAGGGCACCATGAATTATTAAAATAAATGATCATATTATAATATTTCTCCAAATATCGAATTAAATACATCCTTAAAAATAAGAAAGTATAAAAATATAATAATTTCAAAGTTTTTAGATTAATTGTACTCGTTGTAGGTACATGTACTTCAAAACTATATTATATAGTTAGATGTATCGTTATGTTCTGTGCAATATGTGCATATAAAAACTAAAAATATAAACGCCTCCCCCTCGGCCCCTAGAGTAATAATAATATATTGTTATTATCATTATTATTATTATTATTATTGTTTACGGAGGTGATCGAGTACCGCTGGGGGACCACAGCGCCATCTCGCGGTACGTAGCGTAGCGCTGCGGTCGTCCGCGATCGCAGCCCGTCGGCCGTTGTCGATGTCGCCCGCCGCCGCCACCGCATTATTATTCGTTACAAACCCAACACACTCGTGTCGTCTCGTATAAACAAACAACTGCAGCCGCGGCCTGTTTTACTGGTCACTCGCAACTCTATGTACTACGGTACTACGTCCGCGTTCAGCATTCAGCACAGCCACGCATAAACAGTCGCACGTTACGTTTTTTGTTTTTTTTTAACTTCAACAAGTTCAAACATTCAGACCGACGTTCAGGTTCCAGACRATCGACATTTATAATCACCGTCGAGGTGCATCTAACGATTAACCAAGCGCGCCGACAGACCGGAGACGACGATCACTTCATCGTAACAAAACCGCCGTCACACCATCATCATTACCGCCGTTATGTCTGAAGTAGCCGCCGAGAACAACGTGCCCTCAGTTCAGGTAACTAATATCGCGTTTCGGAACTGCCAGCGAATGCCCGGGCGCACTCGCGCGCGTGTTCCACCGATAACTTTTTTTTTGCCGCCAAACGGCTCGCGCGCGCGCCATTATTCCGCGACATTTCCGACGGGACGCGCGAAAATGCCAACAACCCCCTGCCCCCCGCGCTCGCACCCCTGCGTTCGAGTGCTACGCCGCCGACAACCGATAAAATAACCGTATGCCTCAACCCTCCCACCCCCTTCACCATCATCACCGACAGCCGTTCGTGATTTCGCCGCCATTATCGTCGGCGGGGTGCGAAAATCAGTGTTATGGCTCGCGTGTGTCAACCGGCCGGCAACACGATCGTCCGATGGCGTGTCTTGCAATCGGTTCTGCGAACATTTTATTTCGCCGATCCGAGCGGCGATCGCGCTAAAGACGACGGCGGCGTGATCTTGTTTGCGCGCGAGCGCTTACGCACGCGCATGTGTCTCTGCCGCCGTGAAAACCGTTCACCTCGACTCCGCCGCCGCCGCCGTATTTTCATTGGTAATAAACGCGCGCGTCGTCGGTACTCGGTAGGTTCCGACCGGCCGCCCGCGGTGACGGGCAACTGGCTTGGGCAGCGAAAAATAATGATACGTTACCCGATTATTATTGTACGAGGTGAACCACTGTTTTCCCGTCAGCAATACTGCTCGTTCGCGCCCATTTAACACGGGTCCCGCCAAAAATGTGATACGACGTTTCGACGTTGGTTGTCAATTTTACAGTTGTATCATGGTCCTTCATTGCAAATTGCTTACATATTTCTTGTTTTGTTTTAAATACGTTATGCCCTAGGCCTAGGGTATCACTGTATTATAGGTACGCATTTCGAATATTGAATTACCCTCCAAACTACCTCTCCGTGATATTAGGTATGCTTAATCATTATTTCAATAACTATTTTCGAGTGCCTAATACTGTTGAATTGATAACATTGTATAACCTCACGATATTGTAGTCTAGTCTCGAGTGGATAACGAACATAACTCGAAAGGCGATCATTATTCAGTCAAACCACCGCGAATATTTATTTTTTATGGCTTATATCGGAGTATAAAAGAAATGGAAACTTAAAAAATGTATTAGTGGGTAACTTACATTATTTATTTAAATGTTACAAAAACATTATTATTTTTCTTTTGAGAATGTTTTTCTGTTAAACGACGGAAGTTGTATTTAATTTTTAGTTAATATCTATATAAATTTATAAATATAACCWACTTTTTTTGTTCATTAGTAAAATGTGTATATTAAATTGGGTGGTGGCTATATAACACAAATTTTATTTAAAACTTAAAATCGATGATTTGGTATTGTAATATCACATATTCTAATTGTATGAATCTATATTCATTACTTAATTTTGTTACAACATTTCTCTTACCATATTGAAACAAATTCGAAAGCATGATTTGCTGATTGAGACTGTCATAGTTATAGTTTATTGTTAAAACCTATTTATATTAATTATTCATTTAACTGTTATTATTATTTTCTTAGGAAGGTGAGAAGCGTGGACGTAAGAGAAATACTGGAAGTCGTACAAATGCAATAAATGCAACTTATGCTGAAGCTGAACTGATAACCAAGGTTTAAAAAATACATAATATTTTTAATAGCTAAATTTGTTATTAGTAATTTTAACAATCGTATAATTTTAAGAGTATAATCCATTATTACAATTAAGTACTTTTTGTTAAGGGATTGAATATTGAAGATATTGATGGAAGGAGAACAACCAGATCCTCTACACGAGGCTCAACTGCAGCATCAAAGTTAAAAAATGAACCTCCAGCAAAAAAAGAGAAAAAAACACCTGCTGTTAAAGGTATTTTCAAATACATGGTGAAAACCAAAAATTTATATATAATAATAGATTGCAAATAACAAAAAAAAAATATAATTTCTCCTTAGGTAAACGAGGAAGGCCAAAGGCAGTCTCAAAAGAAGAAAGTGAAGATGTTGTATCAGCTGAAGAAAATGGTGTGGCTGATAATGACATTGACTCTAAAGCTGAGAAGGGTGGAAGTTCCACAGAAGAAGAAGTAGATTCTAAAACTGAAGATAAAATTGAAAATGGAAATTCATCAGCAGAAGAAGAGAAGAAAGTTGAAGAAGTAAATGACATACTTATATTTAATTTATTTAATAGAATGGTAAATATTTAATACATTATAATATTTATTTACAGAAAAAGGAAACAACTGATGAATCTGATAAGCCTGCAGCAACAGAGGAAAATAAAGAGTCTTCAAGCCCGTAAGATACGAATCAAAATGCTAAAATACTTTAGTGTTTAATAAGTTTAGTGTTAAGCAAGATATTTAATACTTAAATTTATTCTGATAATTATTATCATGATTTTGGTACAAGTTTATTTTAATTTAGTAACTACACTTTTTTTTATAACTAGCCTATCCTGGTGATAGGCTTTGAATTAATTCTGGACAATTGAATTTCATCCCATGTAATAAAAATAGTTAACAAATACTTTTCATGTAAGAAAAAAACATTGCATACTGATTATGTTACCATTATGTGTATTGTCATTATTGGCAAACTTCCTATCAAAGTTATTTTGTATTGGATTTAATCTGTCCGATTAATTTAAATAATTTTTATTCACAATAACATTTACTTATATCTTTGTATGTAACAAAAAAAAAAATTATTTAAAATAAAATAGATAATTTTGTTTAATATGATGTTGACTTTAAACACATAAATATATAATATATATTATTATTTATTTCAATTAAAATTAAAATGTATATTTTTGTTTTTTTTGAAAATGAATGTAATTTAAGTTATGAGATTGAAAAAAAATTCCGAGTATTTTGCATGCGTTTATTCAAAATTTTTATAATTTATACAAAATTTTACTACTTAGTGATTGGTAGGGAAGCAGTCAAATTGGTCTTATGTTTTTCAAGTCAGTTCAAATTGTTCCATAGACACTTAACATGTGATTATTCCTAATTAAGTATATATGATATATACATTTTATAGGTATTAATATGATCAATAAAGTTTATGATTTATTAAACAAAAATTGTTTAATGATGTCTACTTTCATAAGTAGATAAGTTAACTTTTAAAACTACTGTTCTTACTACATTTTAAACTAACTTCTATACATTTCTTTTTATAGTGTTAAAAATGATATATATATCTTTAATGTATCATTTTTATGACATATTTTTATTTATTATAATATGCATATATAGGATGTAAATTACTATTGTGAATAAGATAATATTATTTTAATATAAATATTATACTATTAAGTACTCTATTGTATTTATACGGCACAACGCAGCAATATAAAATTGAAATAATATTGTATCAATGTGGTCATTTTTATTCAACCTATACTCTAATCTAAATAAGATCAGACTTTGGCGGCGATCAGTTTTCGTCGAACAGAGGTCAGGCCACACCTATTTGTCACCCCACCAAGTTAACTATCTTTAAATCCAGCTGTGTAGTACTGTCACACACGTGGGTCAACTTGGGCGCCGAAGTCTGATCTTTTTTAGAATAGTGTAAAATATATATTACATTATATAATTTTGATTTTATTTTTTCAAATTGAAAATAAGTGCGTTCAATTAATACTTGTAAATTGTTTGTGGTATTATTTTGTTTTTAATTTTTTTTTATAACAAGAGCCAAATAAGTCTTCAGATGTTTATGTACGCACGGAACTTCTAGTAAACTTTTTTCTGTACTTTAGTCAATAAACTTACGGAAGTTAACCTTTTTTTATTTTTATTAATATTTCAGCACTCATTTATGTTGACTGGCTCTAGTTCCAATACATTTTCTTGTTTTGGTTTAATTCTAGGAATGAAATGTAATTATATATATTTCAATATATATGCATTTATAATTATATAATAAATACAATTTTTAGAATAAAAGTCAAATTTTTAATTGTACTGTTATATGTCATTGACATTGATTAAAAGTTGTGAAATTGTTTGAATATGTCATATATTTACTAATCTATAACCTAATGTTACCAGATACTTGGTAGCCAATTAAAAACACAGGATTTTAGTGTTCGATTTTTAATTTTATACATAATTCATATGGTTTGCTTATTGGTTAAATCTGCATTGGTATTATAGTCCTTAATTGCAGCAAAAATTATGGTTTTACTTTGGAATTTTCTATAACTGTCATTAAAATGTTGGCAATCATATCAATTTTAATGTTAAATYTAGGGTTATTCATACAAATTTGCCTTAAGACTTACGTTGATATTTATTTTGGAACAAATGCACTATTTTAGTATTTGATATCTACCTAGTACCCATTCTCAATTCACGGTTAAAGAATTGGTGTTCAAAAAACTATTTCTCTTTTAGATTTTGAGTGTTGCAAGCAACGCTATTAAGAATTCTTGGTGTTTCAGGGACAATCAACATTTAGACTTTCAAAAGATAACCTATAAATTGAAAGTATGATGGTTACAAATAATTGTTTGTTTCATCATTTGCATTTGACAAATTGCACATGTTGAAAAATAAAATGTTTTTAGAAATCATTATTTTGATTTAACTTGTATCCAAAACTGGAAAGTCGCCCTGCTGTATTGGCGTAGTGACTTTGAGTAGGTTGTTGTTAATATCACTGGTACATTGATTAATGTGTTAAATTAAACGATTAATGATTTCATATGGACATTTTGTACAGTTTAACTACCAGCTAACCTACAGCGATGAGCGATACGACGCGTTATATGGATTRTGCTCAACCACTTTTTTTTCAACGGAGTATACTTACGTTCAGTTAAAAATGTAATGTTATTAATTTATTGTTGTCGACATTGAACACTGTACCTATTTTGCGTATATAATACACATTATATATATTTTTTTTTTAAATTTAAATTGAGCCTCAACAACAAAGGTTATTGGCCTTAAACATTAATATTTTTTTACACAAGAATTAAGCATTAACAATATTATATACATAACAATAATAATAGTATGAAAAAAAAAGGATTGAAATATATCTAGATTAAATTAGTAGGTATAGTTTAGTTTGTTTTAAATATTTAATTAATTTTTCAATGTTGAGTGGCTGAGGACTTAGAGCTTCTTCCAGGTTTTCTTCTATGTTGAGCTTAGCTCTGATGTMGGTGAATTTACGGCAGTGGCATATTAGATGTTCAACCGTGGAAGTTTCACTGCAAGTTTGACATTGGTCAGGTTCAGATCACATTATATTTTGGCGTAGTATCAAAACCAATTTATATAGACCTCTTTTGGGGCGAGTGGTTTAAAATATAAATTTCTTAAGCTACACGTAGACATATTTTTTATTACCAGGCGCGGAATGTATGAAATACGTGAGCCCAAAACAGGCAAAACAATATCAGACYGATACACTCMGTTTTACTTAACGTGTTATACCGTTTAACTCCTTCAATAATTTTAGAACAAACAGTGTTAAACACAGATACTACATTTCCTTATGTCAACGGATTATTTTTAGGCAAATATCTAATGCCTTAAGCGCATAGGTTATAATAGCATATTTTTGTACATTTTTCTGGTTGCGTGTTATAACAGAGGTGGTATTYGTCAGTGGAACTGAACAAACTGGGAATAAAATATCATATTAAGGAGTATGGAAAGTGTTTACGTCGCAGTGTTTCAGATATCATAACTTTCATAGCTGATTTTGATGCGGACATTTAAAGAAATATTTAATGCAACGAACAATGCGCTACTCAAGTGTCGTAGGTGCATATTTTGTTTCCGAACGAGCAATGCATGAAACACGCGAGATCCAATAATATGAATATAATATAGACAATATAGTCATCGTTTCTAGTTTTCTACCCAACCGTCACAACCCGTAGCCATAGAATAATAATAAGTAATAACCAATAACAAAAATTGGGTAGGTTGGTCACGATTCACTGCACATTAGATTTAGGTATTTACTGAGAATAACGAACAACTGTAGTCTGTGTAATACGATTCTGACCGAAGAATAGTCAGCGTACCTTAATACCTAATATAGGTATTATTCCTTAATACATTTTATGGTATCATTGTAGTGAGTCCAGTAATTTATTTTACTATTGTGCATTATAATTTATACTATACTACTATAGACAGTAGTACTACTATTACAACAGGCTAAATGAATTTTTGTCAAAAAAAAAAAAAATTGATTTGAAAATGTCATCGTTTGTTTACTGTATACAATACAATAATCAGTATAGTGTTCCCATAGTGTATACTATTATACACCGTATACTCTTTATAACTTTCAAACAAACCTTTAAAAAAAAATGCTTAATTTTTTAAATTTTAGTTTATTTTTGACAATACCTATACATTATATTCTAAATGTTAAAAGTATCTATGTTTAATACTTTTTGATATCAATGAAAGTTAATCGTAAGGAATAAATAAATGTATAGTAAGATTTTTTAAACCGTCGCGCAATGCCCAAGAACAAGTCACGGGCAATATTGACCAATATATATAAGGTGTAACTTGACTATTTAACAAATTTCCATTACAATTTACAAATATTACTATATTAGAATAGAACCTACGTACTTAAGTACTTAACCATTAATATGATTAACCATATTTATAAATTAAAATGTGGTTATAAGAATATATGAAATATATTTATTTTTATTTTTATTTTT